CCCCGGGGGGGGGGGCCGGGGGGGGGGGGGGGGGGGGGGGCCGGGGGGGGGGGGGGGGGGGGGGGGCGGGGGGCCCCCCGGCACCCCCGCCCCGCGGCGGCCCCGGGGGGGTTCTGGCGGGGGGGGCGGGGCGGGGGGGGGGGGGGGGGGGGGGGAAGTGCTGCTTTCTTCTCAGTGTCCCGTCTCTGGGCCCCGGACTCATCTTGTGCCCCTGCGGCCCCCAGTCAGCCCTCTGGTCCTTACTGTGCCCTTGACCGCCCGCGCCCCCCTCTCCTTCCCCAGCCTCCGCTTCCCTGTCCCTCAGGCGCGGAGGTGACCCCCTTCTCCGTGGCCTTCAGATTGAACAGCAAATCCCCCACCAACACGTAGGGCTCACTACTTAGCAGAAATGCGCACGGGCTTTGGAACTAGACCTGCCTCAGAACAGAAACGGGAAGGGACCTAACGAATGAATGGACAAACCACCGTTTCCCACACTTCCTCCGTGCTCAGTGCGCCAGGTCAGCGCACCGAGGCCCTGCTTCCCAATCATCTGCACTCACGACTCACTCTACGCTTAGTATTTCAGTGTAGAGCAAGTGCCCCCCACTGCTGGCCACTACCCTGGACCCTGTAGACACAGAGTGAAAAAGCTGACGAACTGTCTGCTTTTACAGACCTTAACTTCCAGCTGAGGAGACAAACAGGAGGGAAAAGAACACATAACCAGACAAGCCAGTTTCACATACTAGTAATATCTAAAGAAAGACCCATAAGGGAGAGAGACCGCAATGAACTGGGAATAAGGACAGGTCACAACTCTCAGTCCTAACCTTCCCCCGCCCCCCAGCGGTACTGGGTGAACGACCGACACTGGGCCGGCCGGCACGCACCGGTGTTCCTGCATCTGGGGGGCGAGAGCAGCCTCGGGCCTGGCTCAGCGAGCAGAGGTGAGAGGCAGGGGCGGGAAGCAGGTGGGGGCCAGGAAGGGCGCTCTGGGCTGGCATGCGGTGAGGCGGGAGGGCTGCAGCCCCTGATGAAGGTTTGGGGTGAAGGTGGGGTTCATGGGGTCCGGAGCCCACGGCCAAGAAAGAATTCTTGAAGATGTCTTTGGTGCAAAAAGGTGATTTTATTAAAGCACGGGGTGGGGCCCGTGGGCAGGAAGAGCTACACTGGGGTCGTGTAGAAGGGCTGGTTATAGGCCATGGACTTGGGGGAGGTAAAGTCAAAAGGGAAGTTTCCAAAGAGACTTTCACCAGCTAAAGACTCAGTGGAGGCCCAGCTACGGTCAAGCTAAGGTGGGTTTTCCCTCTAGCAAAGCGTTAGCATGAAGACAGTAGGGAGCTCCAACTTCAGGCTATTGATGGGATTGGCTTTTTTGTGTAAACTGGTGGAGACTTACTACCAGTTTAACCATTTGTTTTCTGTCCATCCTTAGTCCTTGGGCAGCCAGGGGAGGCTGAGGAATATCACGCATGTCCCCCCCCCCACTCTTCACAGGGCACCCTGCAGCCCTGGCCCCAGCCTGGGGGGCCCTGGTGATAGGCCTGGAGCACAGGTTTTATGGCCTGAGTATGCCTGCAGGGGGCCTGGACATGGCCCAGCTCCGCTTCCTGTCCAGCCGCCACGCGTGAGTGAGGCCGGGAAGTGCTCGGTGTCAAGGCACTGAGAATGTCTGTATCTTGGCACCTGTGCATCTGGATGGCTCCCCTCCACTGCCTGAAGTCGACCTCTGGGGCTCTGGTCCATGTTTCCCTCTCTCTTTCAGTGTCTTATTCTCTGTCTCTGGGTCTCTGTCCCTCCCTCTTTCTCTCTGGCTATATTTTCATCTTCTCCTGTCTCACTATAGCCACCTGGCCCAGACCAGCAGCATCTGGATGACACAGCCTCCCCACTGGTCTTCAGTTTCTGCCCTTGAGCCCGTCAGTCTCTTGTACGCATGAAGCCACAGTGATGGCCAGAGCAGACACCAGACCACCACTCCCCCAGCTTTCATCTCTCACGGGTCCCCCATCTCACTCAGTCAGTCAGAATCTTCACGGGGCCACGCGGTCCTATTGGCTCTGGGTCCCCGTTACCTCTCTGATCTCCACTTTCTCACACTCACTGGGCTCCAGCTCCGCAGGCTTACAGGCACATTGCTGCCTTGAGCCTGTTTTTCTCTGCAGGGAGCAGGCGTCCCCATCCCTCCTTCACCTCCTCCCCTGGACCCTGCTCCCAGACCCCAGTGCTTCTCAGGACTCACCTCTCCTGGTCTCTCTGTCGGTGTCTGTCTCTGCCTTTCTCCGACTCCTTCTTGCCTCCATCTCTCCCTATCTCCACCTGTATCTCTGTGCCGCCACTGTTCTCTGTCTCCCGAGGTTTTCACAAGCTAAGTTTCTAAGTGCGGTAGGAAGGCATTAAGTGCAACCTGCTTCAGAAAGTCCGGGAAGACACTTAGAAGCACCTGGAAAAGAGGATGTTAGACACATGGCAACCTGTCCATTTCTGATGGTGTCTCCTCTTCCTCCAGGGGCCCCCAGCCCCTCCCTGCATCCGTCAGGTTTCCTGCCTGCACTGCCTGGAAGACCGACCCTCCCTCCCCCCTGTGGCCCACATTGAGGAAGGTGGAGGCGATCGGGAGGTGGGGGGGCTCCTCCGGCCCAGATCGGCACTTGCTGAGATCAGGGCTCAAACAGCCAGTGACAAGGGCCCTGGCTTCTGACCAGACGCCCCCGACCCGCACCCCCACCCCATTCGGGTCTCTGGATCCCCGCCCGTGCAGGAGGCATCCTCGGGATTCCCAGAGATTCGAGTCGATTCTCGGGGATTCCCACCGCGCCTGCCCCCTGTCCCTAGGCTGGCTGACGTGGCCTCCGCCCGCCTCGCACTTGGCCGCCTCTTCAACGTCTCCTCCTCCAGCCTCTGGATCTGCTTCGGAGGCTCCTACGCCGGCTCCCTGGCTGCCTGGGCCCGGCTCAAGGTCCCCGGGACTCTCAGGGCGGGCTGGGGGCGGGGCCCTGTCTCGGGTGGCTGGGGTACCCCCTCCCCCCAGGCACCCCCACACACCCTCCTCTGCTCCCCGAAGGGCTTTCCACAAGCTGCCATCTCCAGGGTTCACGTGTAGAGCGGATAGACTTGCCTGCGACTGCAGTGCGGGCAGATGACACGGGGGCGGCGGGGCCGGGGTCCCAAGGCCTCGGCCCCCACGCTGACGACGGCTGTCCTCCCCCAGTTCCCCCACCTCATTTTCGCCTCTGTCGCCTCCTCCGCTCCGGTGCGGGCGGTGCTGGATTTCTCCGAGTATAACCAGGTGAGGGCGGCGGGCGGCGGGCGCAGGGTCCTCGCGGCGGGGGGTCCCCGATACCTCCTCCCGCGCTCCCTCCACAGGTGGTGTCCCGAAGCCTGACGAGCGCGGCTGTCGGAGGCTCCCCGGAGGTAGCACACGGGGCCAGTCCGCGGGGGTAGTGGGACGGGAGGCCTCGGAAGGTGGGGGAGAGAAAAACGGTGAAGTCTGCAAGGTGGCGGGGTCGGAGGAAGGACCGAGACCAGGAACTGGGGCGGATTTGGGGACGCGGAACAGAGAGAAGGGGCAGGGCTGATGAGGGGCGGGGCCCGGCGGGGACGACCCTATCTGTAGGGCGAGGCTCCGCGAGGGGCGGGACCAAGGGGGGACGGCCCTATCAGGAGGGCGAGCTCAGCGCGGGGCGGGGCCGCTGGGGACAACCCTGTAAGGAGGGCGAGGCTCAGCGCGGGGCGGGACTTGGGGCGACGACCCTATCAGGAGAGCGAGGCTGGGCGCGGGGCGGGGCCTTGAGGGACAGCCCTATCAGAAGGGCGAGGCTCCGCCACGGGCGGGGCCCGAGGAGACGGCCGGGAGGAGCACAGTCAAGGGGCGGGGCCTCGGGCGGGACCTCTGAGGAAGTGGGGCGCTGGGGCTAGGACTCGGGGTCCTGGGCCGAGAGAGGTGAGAGCCAGGACCCCGAGTCCTCGCCAGCGGGGCCCCTCGCTCCTCGCAGTGCCGGGCGGCGGCGGCCGCGGCCTTCGCGGACGTGGAGCGGCGGCTGCGCGCGGGCGGGGCGGCGCGCGCGGCGCTACGGGCGGAGCTGGGCGCCTGCGCGCCGCTGGGCCGCGCCGAGGACCGGGCGGAGCTGCTGGGGGCGCTGCAGGCGGTGGTGGGCGGCGCCGTGCAGTACGACGCGCAGGCGGGGGCGCCGCTGAGCGTGCGGCGGCTGTGCGGGCTCCTCTTGCAAGACGCGGGCAACCGCAGCCACTCCGCGCCCTACCGCGGGCTCCGGCGGGCAGCGCAGGTGAGCGGCCTGGGTGAGTCCGCCGGCGGGGCGCCTGCTCCGCTGCGCCACCCGGGGCGGGTGTGACCCCTTCGGACCGTGGCCTCCCCGTCCGTGAGGTTGGGGGGGGGGGTGACGCCCCAGGGCCCGGGGAGGTGCGGAGAAGTCGGGCGGGGGAAGCGCGCGCTCTGCAGGGGTTAGCGGCTACGACTGGTCCCTATGCGCGTCCTGTCCGGTCGCTCCCGGGCCTGCCCCGGAGTCCGGCGCTCCGCAGGTGCTCCCGTAGCGTTTACGGAAGGAGCGAAGGAATGAAGCCCTGGGTACACAGCTCTCCTAGAGCCCGGATTCCAGCCTCGGGATCCGCGGCCAGAAACAGCTGTTCCAAGAGATGGTCACTCGCCCAGGGTCTCACAGTCACCTAGTGCCTTCACCTCTAACCCACAGGGACCCAGGCACCCTCTCGCCCAGACCCCTGACTCCCAGGAGAGCTCCGGAGTTCTTCGGACCTTGGACTTGTAGGGACCTGTGTGTGCTTTCAGGCCCTGGGCCCTGACTCGCTGGGACAGGAGGAGTTTACCTGTGTGTGTGTGGATTGTCCCCTAGGTCGTCATGCACAGCCTGGGCCAGAGATGTCTAAGCTTTTCCCGAGCAGAAACAGTGGCACAGCTGAAGGTCACGGAGTCCCAAGTGTCCGGTGTGGGCGACCGCCAGTGGCTGTACCAGACTTGTACTGAGTTCGGCTTCTGTGAGTGGCCCGCCCCCCTGTCCCGGAAACGTCCATTCTGCTCCGTGCTGGGACAGGCTGCCTCCCCGTCTGGACTTGCTTCTATTTCCACAGGACACTGGCCACGCTGCCAGTTTTAGCCGCAGGTGTGGGGCTAGAGGGCACACAGCTGTCGTAGAATGTGCCAGAATCGCTCACACACACAGCCCTCACACGAGTGGTTGTCCCTGCACTCTGCTTTTTGTGTCCCTGTCCCAGGAGCGGCCCCACCCTCTCCCTAGTCACTGGCCTAGAAACCCTCGCACGTTTTACATGCCTCCTTCCTTTTGTCCGGTAGCCTGTCCACCAGAGTCCTGCCCACTAGACAGCCTCCGGTTCACCCCAACCCCCTTTCTACTCCCAGCTCTGCTGCCCTGGTGGAGGCCCCCATCCCCTCCTGCTGGATCCCTGACACCACCTCCTCTCTGGTCTCCAGGATTTCATTTCACCCCTACCATCCAGTCCCCTCACCTAGAGAGATTTTTCTAAATATGACCTTGTCCTTCCTTCCGTGGCTCCCCAGTGACCCTGGGGCAGGGTTGCCAAATATGATACAGGACGCCCAGTTACATTTGAATTTGAGAAAACTTTTGTTTTAGTGTGTGTCCCAAAATTACATGAGACATACTTATACTAAAAAAGTATTTGTGAACTGAAATTCAACGTTAATTGGACATCCTGTAATTTTACTTGCTCAGTCTGGGTCCCCTACTCCAGAGTTAAGTTCAAATCTTTTCCCATCTCCTGAAGGCAATGAAGATATGATTTAAAGCGAAGCATTCAAATTCTAGTTCCACCATTTCATAGCTATATGATCTTGGGCAAATAACCTAAGCTCTCTCTCTGTGCCTTAGTTTCCAGTCTGTAAAATGGGAGTAATAGTAGTGCCTCCCATAATCCTGTTTCCAGGATTAAAGGAGATAATATATGTAACATGCTAAGAATAACACCAGGACACAATAAGTACTCCCTAAGTACTAATTATAATTACTCTTCCAACACTACATATTCTGACCCTCAAATACACCAGTTTTCCTGACCCCTCAGGAACTTTGCACATACTGTTCCCTTTGCTGGGATTACTCAGCTTCCTCTCATCACACAGTTTATTCGTCTTCAAGTCTCAGTACCAGATGCCGCCTCCTCAGGGAGCCTTACCTGACTGCTGGAAAGAGGCCCGCTTCCTTCCCCCCGCCCCCCCCAGCTCCGTGTTTGTCTCCTTAGCGCTTTGCTGTCTCATCCTACAGACCCCATTTCCCTTCTCCCCCGTGCACCGCGAGCCCTGTGATGGCACAGCCTGGGACAGTATTGTGTCCCCCATTCCGTTCCCCCATGCGTGTGAGCAGACAGTACGTATCGTTACCTGGTGAAGAAAGGAGTGGGTGAACGTGAGGCTAAGGGAGTTAGACTTAGCCTGGGGGCGCGGGGGAGCTAAGGATCCTAAGCAAGGGAGACACGGTCCAATTTGTGCTTTAATCCTGCGCTCCTGGTCCCTCCGGACCTGTGTGCACGCTGTCCCCCTGTTCATGCTGCTTTCTCTTCCATCTTCCTGTTCCTTAAGCTTTTATCCCTGGCAGCGGCCCGTCCTGAAGCCTCTCAGGCCAGCTCTGGGATCCCTGGCAGCCCAGGCCTCCCAGCCCCCCCCCCCCCATGACCAGTCTGGGCTGTCCCGGTCTGTGGGCTGGAGCTTCTCTCTGCCAGGATTGGGAGCTTACCCAAGGGGGGTAGGGCCTGCCTGGGTCAGCACCAGGGGAGGCCCTGTAATGACTATTAAAGGCCGTGTGCCCCACACTATATCCCCCCCCAGATGTCACCTGTGAGGACCCCAGCTGCCCGTTCTCCCAGCTCCCAACGCTGCCCTCCCAGCTCGAGCTCTGTGAGCAGGTGTTCGGGCTCTCCAGCTCCTCCGTAGCCCAGGCCGTGGCCCAGACCAACTCCTACTACGGCGGCCAGACCCCAGGGGCCACCCGCGTCCTGTTCGTTAATGGTGAGCGGCCCTCAGAACCTTGACCCCTGGGTGGGCACCTAACTCCGGCGCGGCATGCCATTCCTCCTTCCTTTCTAGGGGACACGGACCCCTGGCACGCACTAAGCGTGACAGCAGCCTCGGGGCCCTCGGAGTCCTCGGAGTCCGCCCTCCTCATCCCGGGTGCTTCCCACTGCGTGGACATGGCACCCGAGACGTCGTCGGACTCCTCCAACCTCCGCCTGGGGCGCCAGGTCAGAGGGCTGCGGCTCTGGGCAGTTAGCATCTCATTTGCATGTTGGTTTGCATGTCCCTGCCCTCCGCAAAATTAGCATTCGTTTGCATGTTGATTTGCATGCCCCTGCCCTCTGCGAAATTAGCATCTTGTTTGCATGTTGATCTGCATGTCCCTTCCCTCCGCGAAATTAGCATCTCGTTTGGGTGTTGATTTGCATGTCCCTGCCCTCCATTCCCTGGAATCTGACTTCAAGCGTCTCCCCGCAGAGCATCGTCAGGCGGCTGCAGACCTGGCTCGGGCTGGCACAGCGGAGCCAGACGACGGGCGGGAGCTGAGGGCCCGGACCCTCGCCACTGCCACTCCGCGCACGTGGCCACCTTGTTCCCTGGACGGGAGAACGGAGCTTGTTTCGAAAGAGGAAATTCCCAGGAATCTGGTCTGCACACAACCGACTTGTTGCTGCCAACCTCGTCACTCCTGAGAGCGACCAGCAGTATAAGAGGAGGAGTATTCTCACTGTGAATATTGGTATTTCATTTTATTTTGCAGGGAGCATTTTATTAACTGTTTCTTGGTTATCTTTTTTTATTGTTTAAAGTATCTTGCAGTAAAGCCTCTTCGTGAAATATAATTCTGGACCCACCTCCCATTGATTTTTTTTCCCTACTTTCAAAAGCAGAGCGACCTTGGTAGATTCCTAGGGTGCGGAAGGGACAGGGAGTCAGCTTCTGGCTTGGTCTGCTCAGGCTGCGATAACAGAACACTGGGGATTGGGTGGCTTATAAACAACAGGTGCTTATTTCACACAGTTCTGGAAGCTGTGAAGTGTGGCATCAGGACGCCAGAAAATCAGGTGTCTGGTGAGAGCACCTGGTTCACACTCAGTGGGCTTCTCTCTGGGGCAGGGGAGAGGCAGAGAGAGAGCAGGCCTCACGGTGAGACCTGAACCCTGGAGCCCGGCCTCACGATCATGAGGTCATGACCTGAGCCAAAATCAAGAGTCTAGGCACTTAACCGACTTTGCCACCCGGGCGCCCCGAGGAATATTGGTATTTTAAGTCAGATGTCACATGTGCGGCAGCTCAAATTCTGCTGGGCTCCTGGGCCACCGGGCTCGCTGCCGCACCCCTCCCTCCCGACTCAGGCGTGTGCCTGCTTCTCCCTGTCCTCATGCGCCCCGTCTTCCTCGGGCTCTTGCTTTCTCCTTGTCTCTTGTCTGTCTCGGCTCTCTCCTGTTTCTCTGAATATCCTCATTTCGATCTCTGTGTGTGTCATTCTGTCCCTGTGTTTACCTCTGTGACCTGTGTCAGTCCGTGTCCCGCTTCGCCTCCTCTCCAACTTGTCTGCCCTGCCTAGTGCGCCTCTGCCTCAGTTCCCCTCTCCAGACTCTCCCTTCTCTCCTCGCGCCTTCTCCGCCTCTCAGGCCTTTTCTGTTTCTCCCCTGCCGTTTAATCTTTGCCCTTCTCTCCCCGCCTCCTCATCTCCCTCCCTGCCCTTCACTCAGCCGTTTCCCACCCTGGTGTTCAGGGCCCTGGTCAAGCCTCCCCGATAGGGGAGCCCCGGGGTGTGCGGGGGTGCGCCCGCTCGCAGGGGTGCCTGCTCAGCCGCGGTTCCCTCGCTCCGGGCGAGGTCCTGGGAACGGGCAGGGGGCAGCCAGCCGGGGAGGCGAGCGCCTGGGGCGCTGGGGAGGGCAGAGGCGACCAGTCAGGACAGGGTGAGGGCTTGGTGCAGAAGCCGCGAGCCCGCCGTGCGGTGAGGAACCCTGACCGTGTCCCGCTGACCCCGGCCTCGGTCACCGGGTCGCCCTGGGCGGGACGGCCCCCGTCTGTATGTTCAGCACGCGCCCCGCGGTCCCACACGTGGTGGGTGCGCAGTGTCTGTGCGGCGTGAAGGAAGGAGGTCTAACGTCGCGCTTCGCACGCTCTGCCGGAGGCAGCTGCCCGCACTCTCCTTTGCAAACTTCTCACCCTGACACCTGAATGGCCCCGGATTTGGGGCCCCGCCGCCTCAGGCATTCTCAGAGCTGCCCCAGCGTGTGCAGGGCGCCAGGCTGAGCACCCCCGCCCGGGTGCTGAGCTCACCTGGGGGTCGGCAGGGGTCTGCGGCCTGAGCCCCGGCTGGGCAGCCTCCTTTTATTCAGCGGAGACTGCTGTAGACCAGCACTAGCGTCTGTAGGGGTCTGAATTCGGGGAGGATGGAAACTTCCAGGTACTCTCCCTTCCTGGGGTCCTTGGCCCCTACTCGGCCCCTACTATCCACTCTTTCTGCAGACTGTGGTGATTCCTGCAAAAGGTAAATCAGGTCACCTCTGCTAAAAGCCCTCCAAACGCTTCCCACTAGACCTGGAATAAAGTCGGAAATCCTCCCCGGGGCTACGTACGGGCCCTTCGGACTTTCCCTTTTGACTCTTCCAGGACAGAGCCTGACGCGGGGCTCGAACCCACGAACCGCAAGATCATGACCTAAGCAAAAGTCGGACGCTCAACCGACTAAGCCACCCAGGCGCCCCTCCCTCAATGACTTTTAAATGACTGCCTCCTCCTTAACATTCAGGATCAACTCCAATGTCACCTCCAGGAGGCCTTTGCTGACTGCTTCTGTGTCCGAGTCACTCCCTGTCACATTACCTCTTTTACATGCTTCCTAGCCACAAGCACCACCTGAAATTACCTTATTTTCTTTCTAGTTCAGCCCCTCTGTACTAGAATGCACTAGAATGCGCCGTCCCCGAGCCAGGGGACGGTGCCCTCCTGGTATGCACGGCCCTGTGAGTTCGTGTTTCACAGCCTGTGCCGTTTTCACGTGGCCTTGGTGTTCCAGAAGCCCAAGTCTCCTGGTCTACTGGCTCAAAGAGCACAAAGCTCTTCTCAGGAGCAAGACAGCTGCTAACTTTGCGGTCCTCCGGACTGTGGCTTTCCTTCGCCAGCGACGCCCTCTATCCTATAAAATATGTGAACTTGAATGAGAATAAACAGTCTCGAGAATGTAGACACACTGTGTTCTGAGGGTCACTGGTTTGACCCACATACATTCCACCTGGAAGCGGGGCCATGTGGGACTCCTTACCTTCCCTGGAAGCTTGTGCGCCGGTGTGGGTGCAGCACGGCCTTATCCGGGGCGAGAACCCCAGGGGCGTCGAGCAAATGCCTGTTCTATGCACCCTCACCAGCGCCTGCGCCCCGCACCACACAAACCCCTCACACTGAGGCTAGAGAAGAGCAAAGGTGGAGGACGGGTACTTCCTGCTCCAAAGACTGCCTACTAAGCTGCAGCAGTGAAGACGATGTGGTTTGGGCATTACACACACATAAGCAGACAGATCAGTGGGGCAGGGCGGAGTCCAGAAGCAGACTCACACACACACACACACACACACACACACACGGGCACCACACACACACAATTTTCTTTTTTTTCTTTCACAGTTTATTGTCAAGTTGGTTTCCTTATAACACCCAGTGCTCATCCCCACAAGTGCCTTCCTCCACGCCCATCACCCCCTTTCCCCTCCCCCACACCCCCATCAGCCCTCACTTTGTTCTCGGCATTCAAGAGTCTCTCATGGTTTGCCTCCCTCCCTCTCCCCAAGTATTTTTCCCCTTCTCCTCCCCCACGGTCCTCTGTTAAGTTTCTCCTGTTCCACGTATAAGTGAAAACATATGGTATTTGTCCTTCTCTGCCTGACTTACTTCGCTCAGCATAACACCCTCGAGTTCCATCCACATTCCTACAAATGGCCAGATTTCATTCTTTCTCATCGCCATGTAGTATTCCATTCTATGGATAAACCACATCTTCTTGATCCATTCGTCCATTGATGGACATTTAGGCTCTTTCCATGATTTGGCTCTTGTTGAGAGTGCTGCTATGAACATTGGGGTACGTGTGCTCCTATGCCTCAGCATTTCTATATCCCTTGGGTAAATTCCTAGCAGCGCTATTGTTGGGTCATAGGGGAGTTCTAGTGTTAATTTTTTGAGGAAACTCCACACTGTTTTCCAGAGGGGCTGTACCAGTTTACATTCCCACCAACAGTGTAGGAAGGTGCCCGTTTCTCCACATCCTCGCCAGCATCTAGANAGTTTACATTCCCACCAACAGTGTAGGAAGGTGCCCGTTTCTCCACATCCTCGCCAGCATCTAGAGTTCTCTGATTTGCTCATTTTAGCCACTCTGACTGGCGTGAGGTGGTATTTCAGTGTGGCTTTGATCTGCATTTCCCTGATGGGCATTGTTTCATGTGTCTGTTGGCCATCTGGATGGCCTTTGGAGAAGTATCTATTCATGTCTTCTGCCCATTTCTTTACTGGATTCTTTGTTTTTCGGGTGTGGAGTTTGGTGAGTTCCTTATAGATTTTGGATACTAGCCCTTTATCCAATATGTCATTTGCAACTATCTTTTCCCATTCCATCGATTGCCTATTAGTTTTATTGATTGTTTCCTTTGCTGTGCAGAAGCTTTTTATCTTGATGAGGTCCCCATAGTTCATTTTTGCTTTTGAGTCCCTTGCCTTTGGGGATGTGTCAAGAAATTGCTGCAGTTGAGGTCAAGGGGGTTGTTTCCTGCTTTCTCCTCTAGGGTTTTGGTGGTTTCCTGTCTCACATTCAGGTCCTTTATCCATTTTTAGTTTATTTTTGTGTATGGTGTGAGAAAGAGATCTAGTTTCGTTCTTCTGCATGTTGCTGTCCAGTTCTCCCAGCACCATCTGTTAAAGAGGCAGTCTTTTTTCCATTGCATACTCTTTCCCGCTTTGTCAAATTAGTTGGCCATACATTTGTGGGTCCAATTCTGAGTTCTCTATTCTATTCCATTGGTCTATATGTCTGTTTTTGTGCTGATACCATACTATCTTGATGATGACAGCTTTGTAGTAGAGGCTAAGGTCTGGGATGGTGATGGCTCCCATTTTGGTTTTCTTCTTCAATAGTACTTTGGCTATTTGGGGTGTTTTGTGGTTCCATACAAATTTTAGGATAGTTTGTTCTAGTTTTGAGAAGTATGCTGGTGCAATTTTGATTGAGATTGCATTGAATGTTTAGATTGCTTTGGGTAGTAACGACATTTTCACAATATTTATTCTTCCAATCCATGAGCATGGATTGTTTTTCCATTTCTTTGTGTCTTCTTCAATTTCCTTCATAAGTTTTCTATAGTTTTCATTATACAGATTTTTTTAAAATATTTTTTTATTTATTTCTAGGAGAGCGAGAGAGACAGTGTGAGCAGGGGAGGGTCAGAGAGAGAGGGAGATACAGATTCTGAAATAGGCTCCAGACTCTGAGCTGGCAGTCAGCACAGAGCCCGATGCGGGGCTCGAACCCACGAGCCGCGAGATCATGACCTAAGCGAAAGTCAGACACTTAACCGACTAAGCCACCCAGGCGCCCCTATACAGATCTTTTATATCTTTGGTTAGGCCTATTCCTAGGTAGTTTATGGTTTTTTTGTGCAATTGTGCAATTAATTTTCTACAAAGATGCCAATGCAAATCAGTTGAGGAAGTCTTTAAAACAAATGATCCTGGAACAATTGGATATGCTGTAGACCTTCTCTCAATCTCTTTTGCGAACTTCTTTGCAACTTGATATCGGAATGGGTCTCGGTTTGGTGCAGAGTATTTTCTCTTC